GGTGGAAAAAGGCGGTCAGAAATAGATAGATAGATAGATTAGTTCCCTTCGAAACAGGGGTTGACACACACACACACACACACCTTAAAAATATAGAAAGTAGATCCCCTACCTCCACCACGTGTGCTACAAGTGTCTGCATCTATCCTCTGCGCTCCAAGTGCCTGCATCCATGTGACACCTACAAAAACACCAAAACGGTAGTTTGGAGGGGCTAGGACGCGGGAGTGGCAAACATACAAGCACACATCTTCAGTTTGTGTACAAATATTGCACACTGCAACTCTGGCCGCCCGAAATCCTGCCTCCTGGCGTAGTTATATGGTATGACCAACAATGTTCTTCACCGCCCGGTTTCGCAACACGTATTTGCTGCTTAAAGACAGGATTCAACATCTCAACCAGCACATCTTCAAAGGGCGGATCCGAGTCCTCTACAATGCCAATGTTCAAGGTTGCATTCATCAGGCAGGGCCTGGTGCAAAAGGGAGCTCCTCCTTGCATCGTGCACGCAGGTCCTTCAGGTGCATCTCCTCAAAGAATCCAGTGACCCTCGCTGGCCCAGGACCCATCTGCTGTGCATCTGGGCATCTACAACAAAGCCCCATTCGGAACAGACGGAGCTCATACCTAAGAATGATCTAACACTTGCTGCTCCCAAAGACTCAAAGAATCTATACATGGATATATGTACAGTATTTGTATATTATATTGGTTCAGCCAGAGCACCAATTTGGCCCTTCCCCTCTCCTGAGAAACAGCTCTTTTTAGGCGACGGCGGATCTTCGCCCTCAAAGAAGGAGTCCAAGAAATCACTAAGTGTGGCATCGTATCCTCAGTCTGAGTTCACCGCGAAACCCAAAGGCCGAAGGCACTGGGTCAAGAAATCAACCTCCACTGTCGTTCCCCTGACTGCACAAACGCCAGAAATACAACATCACCCCAAACACGACGAACCACCCTTTCACCATTCACCCGAAATCCTCTCCATTTCACCCAGGCACCTCCATCAATCTTCAGCTCTCCAAAGCGTTCCTGCAATTCTTGCGGTGCCCAGCTGTCGCTCGCCCACCCGAAGAACCCAGGTCTCGCTTCGTGCGCACCCCCACGGAACAGCAGCGGTTGCGCCGAGGCGATGGCAACGGACAGCCGTTGAATGGCTTCGTCGGTGGAGGACGGAGTGGCGATGCCTCGGCCAGGAAGGATCGCGTGGGACGTGTTGAAGCTTCTGGGCTTGTTCAAGCGTCCGGAAGGGACAGCGTGTCATCAGCCACTCAAGGCGCTTTGGTTTGCTCGGGAGCCACGCCCATCTTAACTCCTGCCACCCGGCCCCAGAATCTGCCTGGTGCTCTTTGTCCGGACCAGTTCGCATGCCTCACGCTTTGGGCAACATCTTTAGATACTACTTGGCTCAGCACTTCTAAGTCCTGCTTGGCTGCTTTGCACTGTGTGGCTTTTCGCATTCTTCATGTTGCTGCAACATGCTCGAAATAGAAACGCACGTTGCTGCATGTGTATACCTGGGTCAGTCAGTCTGTGGGGTTGGTTCGGTGGTTTTTGCGCTTGGTCTTGCGCTGGTCCGTGTTCTTGTTGTGGGCGATGCACCCAGATAACAGCTTCCAGCTGGACCCATGGCACGTCGCTCTTACACTAGCTCGCTGCTTGTGTCAGCCACGTTGTTTTGACAGCGCCTGTAGAAGCACAATCAGAAGCTAGCAACTCATTGACTAAGCTAAATGTTGGAGAATGTTTGTCACTCTCTCCCACTCTTCAATGTGCTATCTATCCCAAGAGCCAGGAGACTGAGTGTGTCCCACCTCTCAGGACCTTCCTGACGAGTGAAGCATTGAGTGCGGAAGACGTTGTAGGAAAGCCCAGAGATTGCTGCCAAGCCCGAGAACGCCAGCATCCCATGAAAACCAGCAACACACGTGTGACAAAGAAACCACTCGTCGAGAGTCCAGTTCCTTTGATTCAAGATAGCACCTGAGCTTTGACCGCCTTGGGATTGTGGTCTCAACTTGGCATCGTGTCAAATCTCTGCTGCGAGCCAAAACGTGAACAGGGCAATTGGTGCAACTGGTAGCCCCTTAGCAAGTGTTACCACTCTCAACTGTTCCACTTCATGCACAGACTACAGATTCGGTCAATCCTCAACTTGATCTATATACTGTATATAAGTCAAGAATGGAATGTGCAAATTCCTGCAAATTTGTAAAAATATGTCCCTTCGTTGCGATCTCCCGGTAAACCCATCTGACGTGAGATACGTGAAACCTGCCCCTGCAATAGGTGCCCGGACACAGGCGGTGGCCTCGCTTCCTGAAAGGGAGCCGCGCTACCCAGCCCCTCGACCCACGTGCGCGACGGTGTGTCAACTGGATTGCGGCCCTGTTCAGCTCAGGGAAATCTGCAACTTAGAAATGCCCGAGATATTCTTTTGAATATATTCAATATATAGTTTTCAAGGCAGCTGACAAGGGACAAGAAGTAGTAGTAGTAGTAGTAGTAGTAGTAGTAGAACGGTACAGGAGGATCAGCATGCAATTTAGGTCAGATTGAGACACCTGGCTACTTCTTTTGCAGGCTCAAGCTAGCAGCCAGGGTTGTTTGGCCAGAAATCAGGGCGGTGATCAAAACATTACCACTTGGCAGTTAAATAACATCAGCTCCTGTTTCAAGCAGAGTAGCCGCATCTTATACCATCATCTGTTTTACACTTACACCCACGACTCATGTAGACCCTCTCAAAGCATTTTGGCACCTTCCCTCAAGACCCAACTCCAGGCTTCCAGGCTTTGGGCGAAACACCGCGGGGCTCTGGAGCTTGTGCCGCGGCCCACCTTACTGTGATCCAGATCGGCCAGGGACCGGCCACCCGGCGACCAAATTGGAAGGACGCAAAATGAAGCCGCAAAGTCCATCTGAAAAGCACTATTAATGAAAAACCTCCCTGGATACATTGATAAATGCACGAGTCCATCCGGAAAAGCACGGTCACCCTCAAGCTTTCGACACGACTTCAAAAATGGCAGTAGCAAGAAGTGACTACACAAACAAACAAAAAGCCATCTATAATGTGTATACATTGCTGTGCAAAAGCTATATATAGCTCTATTTAATATAACCACATAGTTAACTGCTTGGAGACCACGTCACCCCAAGAGTAGATCTGGGGCGACCACGGCTGTGCTACCACCTCTGAACGTCGGTTGACCTGGAGTGCAAGCTCTGCTCAGGAAAAACCCAACCCCGAAGGCCATCCAATGGTCAGGTAGGTGTAGGTTCCTACTGCGTCTCCCGGCAAAGTCAGCCTTTGAGAAATTCAATCTTGTGTGTGTGTGTGTTGGGAGTATGTGTATATAACATACTATAATACTATATATATACACATATGCATCAACAGGTATGACTATATGTACGTGTATATATATATATACAGTAGTTACATCTTCATCTTGGATTCCTCATACTTTGCGGGCCGTATAGGAGACTCACTAGACAGCTGGACATGGCCGAAGCTCCTGTATGTTCAGAGTGAGCTACCTCCTCTGAGGAGCTATGCTTAGAGAGTCTGTCATGTTGCCTACAGCAACCAAGTTGGCAATCGCTGCACCTCTCTGGGCGTTGAGGTTCGCATTCCTTGTTTGGCACAGTCTCAATGGGTTGCCGTCTTCAAAACCCACACAGACCATGGACCAATGAACACCCAAGCAAACAATCCTAGGCCAAAAAACGGATAGATCTACTGTGGGCATTTATCCAGAAGAGTACACGCTACGAGCTGACCCTGTTGCCGTTCTGCTTTGTTTCAAAAGTAACATTGAGGAAAAACTCATGAAAGTTGCACGGAAACTATGTGTGTCGCAAACCCTCTTTATCTGCTCCAGTATCTATGCAACGTGAGCAGTTGTCAAAGGCCCTCATGCAGCTTCTGAAAGGCAGAACGTGGGTCGCAAAATGATTATGATTATGATCCTCTTTTTAAACAAAAAACACATTGACCAGAATGGGTTTCGTTCATGACGAAGTCAAAGAAACTGGGGGCTTGAAATGAAAACTAAGTTTGCTGGGGGGCCTATCCTTTGCTACCATTGCAAATCCAACCGTCACGGTAGGTCCACTAGGGCCCCTTCCACCGTTGCTGTGGATGGGGTTTATGGAGGCCGTGACTTCCAGCAGGTCCTGCAGCGGCACGGCGCTTGACAAAGGCCACCAGAAAAGCAAACATCCTTTGTTACTAGTAGCGTCCTTGCTCCGAGTAGCGATGCCAGGAGCTACTAGTAGAAACCTAAGGACTATTCTGTGCCTTTCTGACGGGATCCCTGTCGTTGTTTTTCAATCCCTCCCTACCGAACTCCGCCAAAAACACCAACAACCAATCAACGTTATCCATAACCACGTTCCCCGAAAGTTCCAAACGTACAGAAGATTATGTTGGGCACCACCTACACCACTGCCACCACCACGAGCAACAACGACTCTTCTTCTTTCTTGTCTTGTCTTGTCTTTTCTTTTCTTGCCTTTTCTTTTCTCTTTTTATGTTCTGTTCTGTTCTGTTCTGTCTGTTCTTTCCTTCTGTTTTTCTGTGTGTCTTTCTTTCTGTCTTTCTTTCTGTATTTTTCTTTTTGGGGTCTTGTCTTCTTTCTGTCTTTCTGCCTTCTTTCTTTCGTTCTGTTCTTCCCTCCCTCCCTCTCTCACTCCCTTCGTTCGTTCGTTCGTTCGTTTGTTCGCTCGTTCGCTCGTTCCTTAATTCTAACAACAAGAACAACAAGAAGCAACACCGACAACATCCACGGCGGCAGCTGCAACAGCACGTTGTACTAGTTATATAATGGTTAAACCCCCGGAATTGTGCTATCCTGAAGAAAACATCACTCCGCTACTGGTGGAAAGTGGCTTCAGACAAACGACAAATACACATGTTCCACGAAACTTCACTTGGTACCTCCAGCTGGACAAAGCTCCTTCAAGAAACAAGTAACACCAACTTCGAACTAGCCATGTTCAGGAAATGCCATGATGTCAAGTTGGCATCAAATCTATAAACTTTAGCTTCGCAATCAACGGGCGCAAGCTATATCTGGGAGGCAACTAATCCAACTCCAACCGACCGCAATATGACCAGCTTGGCCTCGAGACTCCATTGCTTCTGGCTGGTGGTCCAACCCCAAAGGCCTTGTGAGCACGATGCTCGGAAGCTCGCGCGGCGAGGGGAGGCGGGGTCTTTAAGGATGTTTTGCAGTTCAAGTCCTCTTGGTGACATGACATACTTCAACCATTCCTTCGACCACTCCTTCAACCCCCCCCAGTTGCCTCCCTGTGTCCTTTCAAAAACAGCTTCATGTTTGGTGTCCCTGCTGACAGACCTGCTGATATGATCGCCCCACCGCAGCCGCGGAGCTCCTCTCGGGTTGGGTCCAATCCAAGTGATGCTTGCCAGGAGACACAAGACGCCAATCCGACAGGCACATCGCGCGGCCTCACCGGCATCATGACGCGCAGCGCTCATTCGGAATTCAGCATAGTCTGGAAACTGGTCCCTTGGATGATGACATCTTCTGGTACAAACCGTGCCTATGGTTCCATCTTCGTTTATGTGTGTTCAGTCGAGCTCAGGATAGGCTGCAAGCTTGATGGTGTGATCCCAAAGGAGCACCATTGCCAATCTGGAAGTTCCAAGGGCATCGCAGAATGCAGGTTCCCCACTGCAAGCTTTGGCAGATGTTGATTGCTGTGACTCTTCAAGCTAGTTTGTAGGTCCAAAAGATCGGACAACCCATGGGTTGAACGAAGGAGGGGGGCAATGGACCTGGACCTGGCTAGGTGGGGATTCCCTCATCCCTGGGGCCTCTCCCAGCCCACCGCTTGGCCCAACTGGAGAGCTAATGGAGATGAGCGATTAACCAACAAACCTAGGATCAAACCCGGATTCCTGATGTCGGCCCATGGCTGATCCTTTGTTGGAGAAGTGCAGTTCCCCAACGTCGTCGACTAAGAAAACTGTTCGGTCGCCCATGCCACGTCGCACATGTCCATCTTTCGCAGTCGGCCTCCACTCGATGCTTTTGAGGGAACTGCCTCAAGAAACTGCCAATCACCTGCAACAAGAAAGGGACACAGGAAGCGCAGAGAAGGGAGCATTTGGGAGGTTGATGAGGAGGCTTTGAAGGAGGTTTATATTATAACAGGAGGCGTTTCCTGCAGCGATCAAGTTCATGTGGTTTGCAGGTGTTCATGTGCTTGAAGGCACTTCATTAGAGGGTAAGGTCCAAACACTAGTCTTAGACTCAGAGTTTTCGACTGTCTCGTTATATCATTAAATTCCTGGAGTCATCTAGGCCAGCGGAAACTGTTTGCTCAACGTAAATGCAGTTCCCAAAAAGCGGAACCCGCATCCTGCCGTCGCCAAGTAGTCTGATCACGACATCTTCGTCATGCCGGGTGTTGTTTCGTCAGTGTGTCACTCGCCTCGCAGGACAACCAATCTGAGAGCCGCATGATGACATCCTCATCCACGGCAGGGCCGTTAAGGCCTCAGGTGAGATCTGGTTTGGCTGTTGGGATTTGTGGTGGCATTGTTTCTTCCGGTGTTCCTTGTAGATATAATTGTAAAGCCAAAGGTATATAATCCCTCCTGAAAGCAATGGACATCCCTCAACACAGTTGATCTAGAATCTAGGGGTGAATCTGACCATCTTGCAGAATGTCCATCAGCAACATTGTCTTCATCATGGTCAAACAGGAGGATCCTTCAGAAAACAATGTTCCTCTACTATGGTGCCACACCCACATCGATCTGGCTCGAACCAAGCGAGAGAGAAAGAGAGAGCCAAACATGTTTTGGCTCACTTATATGAGTCACTTGATTGGGACACGATGGCATTCCTTCAAGTTATTTTAGACCCA